CTCCTTTATACTGCTCTGACCTAAATGTCCAAGTGCTTTACATTTTTCAGTCTTCCTGATCTTTAGTTCTCCTATAAATCAGAAGTGCCTTATTCCTGTTTTTTAATATTTCAAATACTTTCAAATACTTTCTGATTCATCCAAGGATTGGATCTTTGCTTATCTCTCACTTGTCTAAAGGAGCCAAAAATTTACCCAAGCATAATCACCTACTGAGGTATTCAGCATCTCATTCATATACTCATCTTCAGCTGACCTTTAAATACTTGCAGCAGACATCCTGGTTCAGGCAAGCGGACTTGTTCGCCTTCGGGAAGTCGGCCCACTATCCCCTCTGGTTCACCAACACATCTCCAGCCCCATTGAGGCTGGACACCATGGTGCATACGAGGTGATCTATGAACCTTGGCTGGAGATGATATAGATTTTCATCGCTCAACTTTTTAAAATTATTCTGAGCTCCAGAGCTGCCTCCACGGGAAAATTGCATGCCATAAAATAGTCGATCTTTGTGTTGTGGTGTGATCAACTCCACTTAAATACAGTCAACTGCCCGGTTGTTACAGTGCTGGAGTTCTTGCAAGAGCATCTTTCAGCAGGGATTCTGACTCTTAAAGTGGCTCTGCTGCTAGCACTAGAGCAGAAGATCTGCAGGTCCTTTCAATAGCCTCCTCCTGCTTGGATTTTGCCCCTGGACTGGTCAAAGTTATTCTGCATGCCAAACCGGATTACATTCACAAACACCCTCAGGGGGTCTGACTGCTCAGGCCAGTGGCATAAATCCTGCCAGTTTATGTCGCCATTGGTATTCATGTTTCCGTAGTGTCAACGCCATGCCACAGGTTTGAACTTAAAAGGGGAACGTCAGGTTACATATGCAACCTGGTTCCCTGAGAAGGGAATGAGATACTGCGTCATGTTGCCAAACTTTGGGGATGCCTTACACATTTTCCTTCAGGCAACTGGAAGTTGGAGATTCTGTGACGAAGGTGGCCTTTTATGGTCTCGCTGACGTGCCACGCTACATCACCTGACCTCACATCAGCCAATCAAGATTTTCACTGATGCCTCAGACACTGGTCAAGCAGAAGTGTTCCTACAGCCTCAACGCCATGACGCAGTGTCGCGTTCCCTTCTCAGGGAACCGGGTCACATACGCAACCTGAGAAATTTCACATGCAGCTTCTCCCTTTCACTCGCACTGCACACAAAACAAGTCTTCTCTCGCAAGACTAGAAAAGTATGGTTTGTTTTTTGGGTCCCCCTTTATATTAGGTGGCCTTAACTACTATGTGCTTACATCAGAAAATAAGTACAATGTACTTGTTGTGTTCATATTGTTTTACAAAAACCTTCTGCTGTTATTGAGGTGGGACACGGGTAAGGTTAGGGACAGGTTTGGTGGTATGGGTAGGTGTGTGTGTGTGTGTGTGTGTGTGTGTGTGTGTGTGTGTGTGTGTGTGTGTGTGTGTGTGTGTGTGTGTGTGCGTCTGCGTGTGTGTGTGAGTGTGTGTGTAGGAGGTCTTAGGCCAGCGCACACAGTCAGAGAAGGCAGTGCACATCTGTATTTGAGTCGTGTCATATCTGACAGGTTGTGGGTTATGACATGTTTTTTATAGCTCTCCCTTTCTCTGTCACATACTGCAGGGATGCTTGTTTGTCTCCAATGAAATCTTTGGCCTTTACTGGTGGGAACCTCTGCGGTAAATGAACACCTGAGGGCAGCTGCTGATGCTGTCGCCTTCAATACTGACCACACACACACACACACACAGCTATCCTTGTGGGGACTCTCCATAGGCGTAATGGTTTTTATACTGTACAGATCGTATTTTCTATTGCCCTACACCAACCCTACCCCTAAACCTACCCCTCACAGGAGACTTTCTGCGTTTTTGGATTTAAATTTTTTTTTTTTTTTTTTGTGATTTATTAGCTTGTTTACCCGTGGGGACCTCAATTTAGGTCCCCACCGTGACATGAGTCCCCATGAGTCTGTGTGTGTTCAGGTTTAAGTCCCCACCAGAATAAAAAAACGGGTGTACACACACACACACACACACGCAGAGAGAGAGAGAGACATGTTCACATCTAAATGAGGATGTACTATTTCCAAGAGACTTCTGTCGTTGTTTTGTTGTTTTATTATTAAGCTAATTATAAATACTACAGACAAGCAAAGCAATGTGTTTCATATCAATTCCTCTACTCTTTTGTTTTCCCCTCAAGTTGCAATTTAACATGCTGGTTTTTCAACTGTACCTTTAAGACTTATGTAAATGAAGTGTAATGACTGGCTAATATCTTCACTTTTGAAATGAGCAGCAGCAGTTTAGTTTGAGGAAATGTTCTGGATAAACTGGAGAGGAGTTTGTGAATTTGTCTACTGTAGATCTAACCTGTTCTCAGTCCCAAGGCGTCTGATACGGCCTCATGTCAAGAGCTCTGCACAACATTGGACAGATGGTAAAAGCTGTTTAACAACGCAGTCAGTAACCAAATGCTTTTATAGAGGAAGCTTTGAAGTCAGTATACTGACACAAGGGGCATTGGAGATTTATGTTTGGGAATCATTTTGTCATCATATAATGGTTTGTTGGTGTGTGATTTTCAAACTTAATGGCCAATTTTAGTTTACACACACACACACACACACACACACACACACACACACACACCACACTCACACACACACACACACACACACACACACACACATCAGATTCATCAGATTGGGAGAAATGAATCATCCCATCACTTGGCTCAGCAATGGATCCTCTGCAGTGAATGGGTGCCATCAGAATGAGAGTCCAAACAGCTGATAAAACATCACAATAATCCACAAGTAATCCACACCACTCCAGTCCATCAGTTAATGTATTGTGAGCCAAATGCTGTGAGTTTGTCAAATCGTTGCTTAAATAAGAGTCCATAAATTTCACCTCCAGTGAAAAAGTCCATCTCCTGTTGTCTCTCACATCAAAATCCATTCACATATTTGTTTGGAACTTTTTGGACTGTTTTGACTTGTAAAGTTGTTCGAGTGGTGTGGATTACTTGTGGATTATTGTGATGTTTTTATCAGCTGTTTGGACTCATCCTGACGGCACCCATTCACTGCAGAACATCCATTGCTGAGACACTGATGCACTGCTACATTTCTCCATATGTTTTCCCATGAAGAAACTTGGATGGCCTGAGGATATGCTTTTCCTTTTTCCAAATTCTCATTTTTGGGTGATCTATTAATTTGAGTTAAATTTATGTATCAGTTTAGGGTTTGCTGCTCAAAATATTTTTCTGAATATAACGTATCTTTTTAATGACCAGAGATCTAAATGATTCAGCAAATGTTGCTTCTGTTGCCAGAAAAGTGTACACTTGCAACATTTAAAGTATCTGGAATATTCAGAGTTGTGGCAGATCTGTTTGAGACTATTATTAAATATAAATGTAGACTAAATATGCACTTATGAAATATGAGTTTATTAATAACTACAAACCAACATTTGGTCTTAAAATAGCAAGCTCTGAGTGACAGCTGAATTCATGCTAAATGTGTTGCTTGCAGGTATATTTACTGTTTATCTGTTTAATTTGATGTATAATTTATTATTATTGTCGTTTTGTTAACAGAAAGGGGTATGTATATAATATGTTTGACTGATGTGGCCTTGAATTACTGCCGTCTTTCACAGTTCAGTCAGGTGATTGTGTATTCAGACGTGTCTGTGTGACACGACAAAGCATCATTGTGCTGCTGAATGAGCATCCAGAGCAGTGGCAGTGCTGTGAGAGACGGTAACGTGAGCCTGTTATCTGCCGCAGATGAAAGAGCGTGCGATGCTAACTCTATTGTTGTTTTCTGTGTGTGTGTTTCTCATGGGGCGGTGTTACCTAAAAGGTAACAGGAATGAATAGAGACTTCAGCCTAGCTTCTTTTCCCCCCGTTTCTCATGTTTTCTTTTTATTCAGGTCAGCTCTTCAGGTAAGCTGGAATGTCACTGCGCCCTGAAGCTTTCTGAAGGCCGCAGAGAACCTGTCAGGGATGGCGTTTAACGTGTTACACCCCGATATACACACTCACACAAACACCAGCTGAAACAAAGCAGCTGCTCTGAAAATCAGCCTGCAGAAATACAGTTCACAATAAGCTCAGAATTATTATTATTATTTTTTTGTGAATTGAATAGTTTTGAAATTGTTGTAAAATAGTTGACATGGGCACATCTCTGACTGCTCATCATTATATTTGAGCGATAAGGTCCTCCAGGCCGTGTTATATTGTACGTAATCACCACTAAAGGATGTCCTTTGGAGAAACTAAAGCACAGCCATATTGCTTTTATAAAATAGTTGCCACATAATATTTTAAGAATACAAAGCATTTTCATTAAAATGTATTTATAATTTATTTGTTTAAAACACAATAAAAATGGAATTACTATAAATTATTATTTCAACTTAAAATAACTGTTTTCTATGTGAATCTCTGTTAAACTGTAATGTATTTCTGTGATGCGCAGCTGTATTTTCAGCATCATTCCTCCAGTCTTCAGTGTCACATGATCTTCAGAAATCAGTGTAATATGCTGATCTGCTGCTCAAGAAACATTTCTGATTATTATCAGTGTTGAAAACGGTTGTGCTGCTTCATATTTTTGAGGAAACTGTGATCCATTTTAATTTTCAGGATTGTTTGATGAATAGGAAGTTTAAAAGAACAGCAGCTATTTGAAATAGAAATCTTTTGTGACATTATAAATGTCTTTACTGTCACTTTTAATTAATTTAATGTGTCCTTGCTGAATAAAAAAAAAAAATCTGGATTCAAAAATGATTCATTCAAAAATTCAAAAATCTTGCTGACTTCAAATTTTTGATCTCTCGTTTTAAAAATGTTACAGATTCTGCCTGGGGTAAAGTGTGTACAGTATATAAATTGAAGTATATTTTTGCAAGAACATTAATGCACTGTGCCATGTTCTCCTCTCACACAGGTCTTCCAGATCGCTTATGTGTTCCTGAAAGCTGCAAACTCCCCTCGGCCCGGAAACTGGATTCTAGAACGTTCTCTGGATGGTGAAACATTCATGCCGTGGCAGTATTACGCGATTACAGACACAGAGTGCATCACACGCTTCAACATCGTCCCCAGAACAGGCCCGCCATCCTACATGCATGATGAGGAAGTCATCTGTACTTCCTTCTACTCTAAAATCCATCCTCTGGAGAACGGAGAGGTGAGAAACACCTTCACTCACAGGGCAACAAAATTAAGTAGTTCAATGAAAAGGTTTCAATGCCATTTTTACATGATTATGACATGAATGGCATATTCTGAAGAAATTATAACTTTCACTGTTTTATCAATTCATTAAAAATTTTAAACAAGGTATCATCATTTAGACTTTAGAATGTTCGGAAATGTATTGAAATTATTTTGCTACAATGTACACATATGAAGTTGGAACAACATGAGGATTAGTAAATGATGGTAGAATTGCCATTTTTGGGTGAACTGTCCCTTTAAATGCATTTGAGTATGTGGCACAGAGGGTTGAGGAATGGAAAACCTCACAGAGTCTTGCTCGACTGCATCTTAAGTTACCTTGTTAACTGTGATTCTTAATTAGAAAAAAACAGACAAGAGAAAAATATATTCACAATCACATACACAAATGGTACACAAACTCCAGTGTCCCTCTCATTCACAGCCCACTCAATAACACACACACTCTCTCATTTACACAGATATCAGATCACATTTACATACGAACCAGGCATGTGGAATTATGCATGTTTGCATTAATACAGCTGCTAACTTCCCCACACAGTGCGTCTGACAGCTAATAGCAGGCTGACATGAACACCCACACAGGGATGATAAATGAGATGGAAGTTCTCTTACAGCAGCAGGTTTAATGTGTGTGTGTTTGCTGAAAGTCAAATTTACAGCTGTCAGATCATAGGATTATATTGAAGAGCATTGTGTGTGTGTGTGTGTGTGTGTGTGCCGTACTAATGAGGGAGGTGGGTGGGGAGATCAAGCCTGGCCTCAAATGTCGCTCTATCTCCTTTAAAAACAGACAGCATAAACTCACACAGCACTAATTAGCACACATCATTAACCCAAGAAAAACAGCCCAGTACTGCACACACACGCATGCATCACTTCCTTAAGCTGCACTTGTATTAAAACTGTGATTGAATGTTGCTTATTTGTTTATATACAATTTACCCTCTGGTGCTATTTGATCATTTTAGACTGAATTTAAATTTGTAATCATTTTTACTTTATCAGAATGATACAAAACTTAGTGACTTTTTGGCACTTGCTATATGCACACATGCGGGGGAAAAAATCATGGAAATGATTAGAAAAAATTTAACATTTGTGATCTTCACTCTCAAAAATACCCAAAATAGAAAATGAATGGGAAATACAAAATAATTCAAAAATACAAAGCATTGTAGCTACAAATGAGCAAAGTAGTATTTGGTAATGTTTTTATATATATCCAAATGCAAAACATAATAAAAGTAAGTAATTATGTCTGAAAATATTTTTATAAGCAACTAGGCAATACATAGCCCTGTATACAGGCATCTAGTGGTTAAACCATAGTATTACATATGATTTTATATACATTTCTACCACCAGATCTGCCTTTCATGCAATGCATTTTAAATACATTTGTTGTATTTTTAACTTAACTGTATTATTGTAAATAACTGTTTTAATTTATATAGACAAATAAGCAGCATCATTTTAAGGTGAATATTGTCTATTGATCTAATTAAAAAAATGTTCTGCTTATTGTCCTCCTTATATTTTCGGCCTCAGAGTGTTACAAGTGTGAGGAAAACCAGAGGGTTAATTGTATTATTTTTGGTTAGCAAGATTATGTTCAAATTTTCAGATAATGCACTACATTTTGAAATATGTATGTAACCGTACTTTAGCAGAACCACATAAGAAAACATGTTGTTGCCCCCCCCCCCCTCCCCCCACAATAAACAGGATTAAGCATGATTGAGTAAATGATTCAATGACTCACTCATAAAGACAGTCATGTGTCGCAGTTCATCACTTCTCATTTTCTTTCAGATTCACACCTCACTAATAAACGGCCGTCCTAGTGCGGACGATCCATCGCCCACATTACTCAACTTCACCTCGGCACGCTATATCCGCCTGTGGTTCCAAAGGATCCGCACCCTAAATGCTGACCTCATGACCCTCGCCCTCAATGATCCCCGAGACATTGACCCCATCGTCACCAGACGGGTGAGTGCCTCAATTGGAGCTGGAGATGCTAGAGTGCTAGTGTGGTGCTACTGTGAGAGGGGGAATGTGTTGTCATCACTCAGTGCCATTCATACACCATCTGTGTGTGTGTGGAGGGTTGGAGCTAACGCTGCCCGCCTCATCCATTACCAGCCTCTCCTCCTCAGACAGATGGGTTTTAATTAAAATCATACAGTAATTAACAAATCAGCCCTCTCTTTCCCTCAAAGACGCCATATTACACGCCTCCACCCGCCCACTTCCTCCTACAAACTCATTAACTCGTTGATTGACCTGTTTCCATCAAAGAGTAGTTGCATTGAAATGCAGGATTACGTTTCTCACGTGCATTGAGCAATTTGGATAAATGAACCCAAATTATTTAGTTCAAAGAGTCATTTTGCAATCTGAGAGGCTTAAGCCACATTGGTTGCATATGATTACGAGGCTAATTTAAAGGTGATGTGTGTCATTCTCATATTAAAGTGAATTATTGTGAGTTTGGTAAATTGACTTACCCAGGAAGTTTAATACTGTGGCTTTGTGGCACTTTCAAATTATTGATCTGTTTAAGCATCACAACCAGCTTAACACACGCTGTATGCATTAAAAGTATAGTATAAAAGTGTGCTTGTTTATTTAGTGATGCTCAGTCGGTACCTTTAAGGGTGTGTAAGACAGTAGTAATATAACTTATGCTTATTATATTATATGCTTATTGGGGACACTTGACTGATTGCACAGACACTATTGGAAGAGAGCTGAACTGGATGATGACATCACTGAATCATCAATGAATTGACTTTAACTGAAAAATGTCAAACTTGTAAAATGTTAATGACAGTCTATTGAAGAGACAAAATAATAAACATTAGTAGCATGTAACTACAATTGTGTACTTGCACTGCATCAAGTTCAAAATTGAAAGTACATCTGGGTACTTTCATGTTTCAAAATCCAGTTGACAGCTACTGACAACAAGAAAGTTGTTAGTAAAAGGAATAAATGTAAAAAGCACATAGTAAAAAAGTATTTAATTGAAGTGAGGGGCATAACTTATTGCAATAGTAACTATGGGTGAAAATGAAATAATTTAACCATTGTCAAGGGCAAAGTGCCCATCGAACACTAATCACCATAATAGTGACAACAGACTTCAACAACTTTTGCACACGTACTGTTTGTTGAGTACTGTTTGTCTTACTGGGATCCTACCAGCATCCAAATGACAACATATGCTGGTCCACCAGCACACCAGTGTCCCGTGATGGTGACCAGCATCCAGCGACTGAAGCTGGTACCACTGTGCAAATCATACCTTATGCTGGTGACCAGCTGGGGTTTTCAGCAAGGTAACAGTTCACATCTAGATAAATTCCTTATTTTCATTTATATATTTAAAAATATTTTGGCAGCTTCAGGGGGAAAAGTGGTTCACAAACTCCTACTTTTGTTGTGTGAGGGGGTATGTGAATTTGTAGCTGAAAAGCAGAGATGTTCATAGAGTTTAACTTATAGATACTTTGCTTCCAAGATTCCCAGTGCTTCATCAGAACCTCTCAGTCAAGACCACAAAAGGTCTGCCAAGTGAAAAATAAATAATAATTTAAACCATCAGCAAACATGCTTCTGTAAATATTTAAATATTTATTGCTTTTGTTTTTCAGTATTACTACTCCATTAAGGATATATCAGTAGGAGGAATGTGCATCTGTTATGGTCACGCTAAGGCCTGCCCTCTCAACCCATACAACAAGGTTTGTCATCTGAAGCTAAAGAATATTTATTTCATATGTGCACTGTAATTAGGGTTATTACTTGAGCTTTATCATTAAGTTGTTACATAGAGACTAAACACTTTTGGCCTTTATGAAGAATGCACTCAGAGCAGTTGTAAAAATCAATAATTAAATAGTTGCATTGTGTCTTATATGATCAAAATAATGTATTTTGTGGTACATATTTTGTGTCTGTGTAATAGCTGTGTAATAGTCACTACCACTATCATCAAAACATCCAAAGAGGTTTTGTTTCTTACTTTACAACACCACAAAATGTCTAGCACATTTTCAGATAACTTTATGAAAACAATTTTAAAGACATCTACAGGGCAAATACTTGGATAAAAATACACAATTTGACACAATTTCAATAGATGAATAGGTTTAATTTGAACTATCCTTTTAAATTTTGAGCACAGACCAGCCATGAACATATCAACATACAAAGGTTGCAGAGACTTGGAGGTTTCTTGTCAAAAATAGAAAATTAAAGGAATGAAGAAGGAGATGGATAAAGAAAAATAGTTAAAGAACTGGAATGAATGCATTTGATTTATTTATTTAAATAGGATTTAATATGACTCTCCTAACCTCATCCTATAAAAACATTTGTCAAAATAACACAATCACAAGTTTTACCATTTTCTGTCTGACGATAAGTCAATGCACTGAAAGGCTGTAAGGAAAGTGTAATTCATTAAATTCATTCACAATATGTACACATTCATTCTTAATCTTATAGCTAATATGCTGAAAATAAGTTGTTTGCATTTCTGTAAATGACTGTTGGTTCTTTAACATTTCTTCGTAACAGTTTAAAAAAAAGTTTAATATTAAATGTTAAGCTGCTTACTTGCTCTTTCATCTCACTTTTTGGTGATTAAAAAGGAAGTTTCATGTTGAAATGCATACTCCACTTAAGTGCCCATTAATGGTAGCACCCGCCTTTTTTGATTTGATTGTCCATCTCAGTCATTTTGACATTGATAAGTGCTGTTAGACCACCGATCTGCTCAGTACCAAAATACAGCTATTATTAGGCAATTTTTTTCACCATTTTTATTATATACATTGGAGTAAGCCTCAGTGGTGCTTACAGCACTTATTCTGCTCTGCATTGTGTTTGCCATCTCAGATTGAGTTTTAATTGGGAAGGCATTCTCAAAACATTTCTGAACGACACACAGTTGGTTTGATTGACTGTTTGGTTTTGACATCAGAAATTCAGCTGTGAGTGTGAACACAACACTTGTGGCGAGAGCTGTGACCGCTGTTGCCCTGGTTACAACCAGAAACCCTGGATGGCGGGAACCTTCCTCACATGCCACGTCTGTGAAAGTAAGAGGTCTCAACAATGCCCCACAGAGCTGAGCATGCTGCTTTACTGACCAATTTAGTCCTATTTAGGTGTGGTCTATAAACATCAGTTCATGTTATATGACATCTGAGTAACTATATATATATATATATATATATATATATATATATATATATATATATATATTATACACACTGTGTCTATCAAACAATATCGTTATACATTAATCGCGATTAATCGTATCCAAAATAAAAGTTTGTGTGTATATATATATATATATATATGTAAATGCATGTATATATTTAAGAGTATATGTTATATGACATCTGTGTAACTATATATATATATATATATATATATATATATATATATATATAATAGTCACACTATGTAACAGTTAATACATCTTAATATGAATTCCGCAACAGTTAGTTTGGGCCTTTCAGTCTGATTGGTTAATTAGCATTTAATTTTTATAGCATAGCAATTAACAGAACTGGGACTCTCCACTGTTTGTAAATTCTTCATCAAATGTAGAACCTATACAGACAAAATGCAATTTCAGATCAGTCATTGAATTATTCACTCAACCAATTTCTAAAAAAACATACATTTTCCAGGAACTAACCAGATGGCTGTCTTAATGAGTGAATCACTGAATCGTTTGTTAAATGAGTTGTTCAAAAATACACAATCGTTCAGGAACTAAATGCCCCTGTGTCTTTATGTGGAACTGTTTTTATTGGTGAAGCAAAAACACACAAAATAACTGGCAATACTGAGTCTAACATTTAAGTTACGCAATATTAACTCGATTATGTAACTACTGTGTTAAAGAAATATCACTCAATCTAGTCGCCTTCTTGTTACTCCATTTTTACTTCTTGTTACACCTTCTTGTTACTCCATTCTGGAGCGACCCAAGCTGCGGTGGCTAGTCTTAATGGGACATTCTTGAATTAGTAATAATCAGTCCGCTGAAGGCGAGCCTGGTGAACCCAAGTGCAGTTTATTTACAACAAAGACATGAAACATAATCCAAATCCAGGCTTGGCTTGACTTGACAATGGCTTGACTTAAAACAGACTTGACTTGAAATGAACAGACTTGACTTGAAACCTGGCATGAACAGAAATAATACTCGACAAGAGACAATGGCAACATGAGGGCTATAAATACCAAACAATAAGGGTCACATGACACAAACCAACCAATCAGAACATGACGCACACACTAGGCAGGAATACATAAAGATCAAGGCAATCACATGACTAGACAGGAACTATGTCTATGACAAAATAAGAGACATGAAAACAATGAACATGAAACAAAACCCCAAAACAGACATGACAGTAACAGAGATTTAGACATCTCTTTTTGGACTAGCAATGGAAGATCCTGAATTCATTGTGCTGTTGTTCGTAGTATCAGCACGCCTGTTATTACCTGTGTCTGAATCATAGCTGTGCCAGTATTCAGATCAACTCTTCCTCATGTGGTATTGTCATATTATCAGTGGCATGTGTCAGGAGCTGCGTGTAAAGCTGCACTGCTTCTCTTATTGTTATATAATCATGTGATGTCTTTATTTGCCAGAGTGCAACTGTCACGACAAATCAGAGGAATGCTATTACAACCAGACTGTGGCTGATGCTAAGCTGAGTTTGAATATGCATGGTGAATATGAGAGGAGGCGGAGTCTGCCTTGGTTGCTCTGAAAACACAGGAGGAAATAACTGTCAGTCATGTGTAGATGGCTACTACAGACCAAGTGAGGTGAGTGTCTATATATATATA